TACGCCTTCGCAGCATATCGTCAGCAGTCAAAATTTATCAGAAGGAAAAGGAAAGACCAGCTTTGTTTAAGATGAAGGACGCGAGGTTTTAAAATATTATGCTTGAATATAACACAGTACAAAGCACCTGTATATAAAATAATGCTAACAACTGACAATTAAAGAAAAATTATAATAAACCAGCGTTTGTATGTAGAAGAACAGATGTATTCACTAAACGCAATATACACAAAAAAGATAATACAAATTAATAAATATTTATTTATCGTGTCTTAACTAAAATGTTGAAGTTTTCAGAACTGCGTAATAATTCGGTAGAATAAAAAGCATACTCAGAAGAGAAAATAAATTGCAATAACAAGAAATAAAAATAATACAGTCAAAAGTCTTTAATCCGGACTCGTCGGGACTTCGGCGATTCCGGATTATCGATTTTTCCGGATTATAGATCATCAGTTTAAATCTGGTAAGATGGCATGCAGAAATTATAAAATTAAAAATATGAAACCTTAATTTATAAAATAATGAGCAATTATGATCTAAAGGGTATCAAAATTTACCAAAAAAGAAGCTAATATTTATTTGTTTACTTTATTAAACATTTCTTTCAACGCGCGGATGCGTAAAGCATACCTTACGCATAGCCGAAATTAGAAAATTGCAACCAGAAAACTATTTGAATTTGTATTCGTGATATTTATAATGACGAGGAATTTGATTTAAATCATATCAAAGACGGAGTACATCGAAATTAAATACTACATTTAGTAAGGAATTATAAGCCGAAATAAAATAAAAACATCTGCCCTGAAGATAACGATAGTGTTGACAGAGATCAACTTCCAGTTCATTGCGCGTCGCGACGTCCCCCCCCCGCCGCGCAGTGCAGCGTGAAATTGATAAACAGATTTCGGAACGGTTAGATAAACAAAGGATATGCCTTTTATCCATTTTTTGTAGCAATTCCACTTTTTTGTTTGATGGACATGGAAACATACTTTCGTTTTCTAGATCCTTTGGGAGCTCCAGCATCGGAAATTCTATTTTGACATAATCGAAAGTTCAAGCTTACTTTTAGAAAATTGCTCTTACAATCTGCAAAAAATAATAAGACGGATCCAATTCGAAGATTAAGGAACAACGCAATTATCAACATTAACTGAATTAGATAATTAGATAATTTTAGCTTATACCGTCCGTTATACATTAAACGCGCACGCGAAAACGTATTCTGCACTTGCGCAGACGCATATGCGCAGTCGTAAATGTCTTGCGCGCACGAGTAAAACGCCTATGCGCATGCATCAATGCGGCGCATGCGCAGAAAGATTTTAGCTTTGAGGTCCGGATTATAGATCATTCCGGATTACGGGTGCCCGAATTAACGACTTTTGACTGTAGTAAGAATAAATAAACAAACCGAGGCGTGATTTATACACCTTTTGTACCTTCATTTTTATATATTTAGCTTGTTTAGGTCATTTATTAGTTGTTATTTAAGGCTCAAAACTACTAAAAGCAATTCTGCAAACTTTAGTTATTGAATAAAAAAATTTAATAAATCAATAGAGAAACTGAAAAAAAGAATGACCAGCAGACAAAAATTAAATTAAAATTTTGCCTTTTTCTCTTAGAAAATTTTCTCTTAGAAATGAGCATAAATGAAATATTAATTAAGAATAATGTGCACTGCCTTTTTGTAGGCGAAGCCTAGCTCGATGGACATTTGAGCTAAAAGCGCCATCTGTGGGCAGAAATAATAACTAAAAACTAGAATAATTATGACTTAAGCAAGCCAGGCTCTTGCTGCAAAATCATAGACTGGTGATCTTCACCTAAAGGCAGTGGCATCAAACACCAATTTTATTTATTTTTTTTTTTTTTTTTTTTAGAAAGTGGAAATTTGAGTAAGTATTATTTACCAATTTACGCAGAAAAAAGGGGAAAAAATGAAAGAAGAAGGCCCCGCCTCCTAATAAGAAGCCACGCCTTCATTGATATATAGTGGGGTACCGGGGACAGAAGACGATTTTGCCTCATGAGCTTTGACTGGTCATTGTCACCTGCGGAGATTAATATTACAAGGTAATTTAGGAGGAAAAAGATAAATGATAAAAAAGATCTTGTAGGAAAACAATCTAAAAATTCCGGCGGGGGAGGTATTTTGTAAAAGTGGGCTCAAGTAAAGGGAGGGGAAAAGGCGTTGCAAGTCTTACTGTAAGAAAGTTACTAAATTGAAAATGAGGAAAATTTACTAAATAAGGGAAAAGCTGTGTAAAGAAACTAAATTTAAGAAAGAAATTGTAGAAAAGCATTCTAAAAATTCCGACCGAGGTTGTTTTAAGAAGTGGGAGTATGAAGTGGGAGGGGATAAGACGTTATAAGACTTAACAGTAAAACAAAAGCAGTAGAACAGAAAAAGTAAATAAACAGAAACAGAAATTAACAGTAGAACGGAACCAATTTATAAATGATGGGGAAGGGAAAATGAATTACTTGTGCAGAGGCAAAAAAGTGGTGTTCTCTTAATTGCCTGCTAGTCTGTAGTACAGTAAAATTACGCGCTAGATCAAAAATCAGATGTTGTGTGTGTATTTAATTATGGCAAAGCACACTAGGGCTATCTGCCTACGGAGAGGGATGCCTTCGTGGAGGACTTTCTAAGGGAAACTGGCTCGAATACACGTTACACATGGGGAAAACCACGAAAACACCATGCAGCCAGCCCGTTCGCGGGAATCGAACCTCGGACCGAACTACCAGTGTTCAGGGACTTTACCGCTCTGCCGCTCGTGGACCCAAAAAACACATGGAGAATAGTATCGTAAGAAGAAACCTGAAGAGACCTGAAGAGATTCTCAAGATCGTGGTAAAAACTAAGAAATTTTGCGAGCAGAGAATGAATGCTACCTGTTTTAGTGAAAATTACAAAAGGACAGGTATAGCTCGTGATTTTAAATATTACTGATAACTTTGCCTTTTTGAAATAAGGAAGCCAAGTGGGTTTTATTCACTTAATACAAACAAAAATGTTCTCTCCACGGTCAAATTTAATTTAAGGCAATCCAATGGGGAATGATTAAAGTTAAATGCGTTATGTGATTCACCCTCAATGCGAAATTTAATAACTGAGGAAGCAACTAATTTATTAGGCTTTCAAAGATCGAGATGTAGAGCAGATTTAATTGGATTGAAATTACCGAAAAATTACCAATTGAAATTACCGATTACGGAAAACATTTGTACGCGCATAGCTAAGGAAGAAGAATCCTTCAGTAAGGAACTCGAATTCTTAATTTTGCCAGAAGTTGCTGAAAATGTTCCAGCTGAAAAAATAGATGTCAAAAATTTTAAATTGCCAGGAAATGTAAAGCATGCTAATCCTAAATTTTATTTACCTAAAAAAATATCACTTCTTTTGGGAGGTGACGTGTTTTACGGATTATTAAGGTGAAACCAAATCCAGTTAAGGGGTAATTCTATCACTTTAAATGAAACAGTTTTAGGATGGATGGTAACAGGTTCTATTCCCGTCATGTCTCCAAGTAATTCTCGCTGTTATTTTGATCGTGTTGATGAGAGTTTAATACAATTTTGGGAGTTAGAATCAATTGGTGTTCCCCAAAGTGTACATTCAGATGAGGAAGCTAGGGCCATAACACTCTTTAAGAATTCTGTGTGTTATAAGGAGGGGAGATACGAAGTTGGGTTACCATGGAAGCGCGACTTTAAGGAAACTTAGCAGTTGCCAGGAGACGACTAGTACATTTGAATAGAAAATTTGAGAGATGCTCAGAACTTTATAACGACTACAAAGAGATACTGAATGATTATGAGACTCAAGGTATCATCGAAAAGGTTCCAAATGGCAAGGTAGAAAGTGATAAGCCCTTGTTTTATCTACCATTTTTAATGGTTTACAGAGACTCCGTCAGTTTCAAGAAACGAATCGTTTTTGATGCCAGTGCACATGAACAGGGTGAACTTTCTCTGAATAACTGTTTATACGCTCAGACTTAACCCTCTGATATTCAACATGCTTGTCTTCCGTTTGAATGTGTCTTAGCAGATATCGAGAAAGCGTTTTTGCAGATATCTTTGCATGAAAAGGATCGAAATGTAGTACGATTTCTGTTTCCAAGTAAAAAACCCAGGTACAAATGAACATTATGATATCCAGATTTTCAGATTTTGCCGTGTTCTGTTTGGCGTCAAAGCCAGTCCTTTGTTGCTGTCTGCCACCATTAAAGAATACATCGAAAAGCTTCGAGAGTTGCATCCCGCGACAGTGGAAATGCTCGATAAATGTCTATTTGTCGATGATTTTGTTGGAGCTCTCGACAACGTCTCATCTCCCTTTCAGATGTCGTGTGAAGCCAAAAGAATTATGGCTGACGCAGGAATGAATTTATGTAAATGGAGTTCCAACAGCAAGGAACTGTTACAAATATGGGAAGACAAGGGGTTCAAAATCCATCCCATTCATTCAGAGGCCAGTCCTACTGACAAACTACAAAAGGTTCTCGGTCTTCCGTGGCACGTGCATCAAGACTACATCACTATTGATGTGAAAGATTTACTCGAGTATAATAAAGGAGAAAGTGTTACAAAAAGAACTGTGATAAAAACAGCGGAAAATTTTACGATGTGCTTGGTTTTCTAAAGCCGTTTACAATCAGACTCAAATGTCTATTCCAAGAACTGTGGCTTAGGAAGTGTTCATGGGATGCAGAACTTCCAGCAGACCTTCTTCAAATGTATACTCAATGCAAGCTTGAGTTATCTGATATTACGAACTTACAAGTCCCTAGGGTGATCCTCGACGGTAGCCTAGGTGATGCCAACGAACTTCAGATCCACGTCTTTTCCGATGTCAGCCAAAGGGCATACGGAACTGCAGTATACTTAGTTAAAAATGCTGACAAAATCTCGTAAACTTAATTGCTTCGAAGAGTCGTGTTGCCCCAATAAAGAAACTGACTCTACCAAAACTTGAACTCATGGGGGCATTGCTCGCAGCCAGACTTGCGAAAGAGGTAGAACAAAATGTAAGACGAAAAGGGACACCTACAGTTCATTTTTGGACAGACTCCCAGATCATATTGTTCTGGATTAAAGGACCTTATCATAAATGGAAACAGTTTGTTTCCAATCTTGTGAAAAAGATTCAGGCTCTTAGCAATCCTGAAGCTTTTTCACATATACCTGGTAAACTAAATATAGCTGACCTTGTAACAAGAGGGGCTAGTGTAAAAGATCTTTTAAAAAATGAGACTTGGTCGTCAGGTCCTGAATTCTTAAGAAAAAATGAAGTCTCAGTATTTCAGGGTAATAATTCTGTTCCTGAAGAATATTACATTTCAGAATTGAAAAAAGGTTCCTGTGTAGAAGAAGATATACCTCTATGTTTTGCTGTAACTAACCAGAATGTTTTGTTTTATAATGATCTGCTTAAAATTACTAATAGTTTTTCTAAACTTATTCGTATAGTTTCTTGTGTTTTCAGATTTATTTATAACTGTAGAAATCCTAAAGACAAAAATAGTGGGTATCTGAAGTGTCAAGAATTGAACAATTCAGAATTTGTGCTCTTAAAATTTGCCCAAAGTGAGTATTCGGAAGAAATTTCTGCCTTAATAAAAGGTGAGAATGTAAAAGGTAAAAGTAAATTAGCTTCTCTTAATTGTTTTCTTGATAAAAATGGTCTTATTCGCGTTGGAGGACGAATAATCAATTCTAGTGTTAACGATAATATTAAACATCCTATTGTCCTCTCATCTAAATATCCCTTAACTTACATGATTGTAGAGTATTTTCATTTGAAATATTTGCATTTCTCCAGATGAACAATTGGTTCAATATTTCACGGAGGAAACAATTGATTGGTATTTTAACCCTCCAGGATCTCCTAATTTTGGAGGATTGTACGAAGCTGGTAAAATCCTTTAAGTATCATTTAAAACGCATAGCCGGAAATTCTCATTTTACTCTGGGAGAATTCATTACAGTATTAGCGGAATTTGAAGGAGTTCTAAACTCCAGACCATTGACTCCATTGTCAGCTGATTTTGATAACTTTGAAACCCTAACCCCATTGCATTTCCTTATTGGGAGACCCATCATTTCCATTGCAGAACTCCCACTTACAGATATCAATGAAAATAGGGCTTAGCAAGTGGGAAAAGGTTTCCAGATGCTCTCAAAGAATCTGGAAGCTTTGGAAAAGAGATTACTTAAATAATTTGCAACAACGCCATAAGTGGCAGTTCAGTAAGAATAACGTAAAGGTTGGGACCTTGGTGCTGGTAAAGGAAGAAAACCTACCATGCACCAAGTGGTTAACAGTAAGAGTAGAAGAAATATTCACTGGAAGTGATGGGTAAGTAAGAGTTGTGAACATACGCTTGCCACAAAGCAAGATACTTAAAAGATCTGAACGATATATTTGTGTGTTACCTGTCTATTAATTATTGTATTTAAGTTTCATTTTTATATTTAATATTGCTATTGTACTTTGAGCGTAATTGCTGTATAATTTTCATTTAATTTTATATTGTATTGTTTTATAAATGATAGAAATATTGGACTGAGAATCCAATCGGCGGGTAGTGTTACGAGTTTGAAATATTTCTTTCTTTGAACTTTTGTGGCAACACTGCGCACGCGCGAGTGGAGATCATCTAGGCAACGAGGAAGAGAGTTTCTCTCTCGACCTACGCAGTTATTAAGCAACGATATTTCTGTTCTCGGTACGAAACAACATAACTGTAATTATGCCAGCAATAATTTGCAATGTTCATTAAAGTTTGTGTTCTAAAACTAACTTACAGTTTACCAATTCGACGGATACACGTAACAACCATATTTAAATATCTGCTTCGATGACATCATTCCTTCAGCAATAAGAAAATGCCTTTTAATTTAAGAAACCGCAGAACTTTTCAAAGAACCCAATACATTTTACATCTCATGGTAGATTACAGTAAATACTATAAAAAGCAGGATATTTGTATAATATATACATATATAATCATGGTTAATTGATAAATTACGCTTTAGCAAGATTAAATAAAGTAATAATAAAGTACATTTACTCTACTCATGCATCATCTTTATATATTATATAAGCGGCTAAAATGTGTGTCGCCGATAGTTTATTGTTGCCACTCGGAACAATGAGCGCGAAAATTATCGTTTTCGCAGTTTTTAATTAATATCTCGACCGATTAAAGTCGTACGAAGATGAGAACGGTATCGATGGATTCGAAGAGATTTTTGGAATCCGAGGATACGCGTCTCGAATTTAAACTCGGCGCTGTTCCGCAGATATTCGAGAAAAACGAATTTGGCACGTATCCAAATCCCTCTAATTGGGAAACCCAAGACAGAAAGTGAAAAATGTAGGGAAAACATAGGGGAAATTATTTTTAATTAATTCTCGGCTAAGTAAATCCTGAAGACGCGAATGGTCAATGGCGTGACACGACCTGCGGAATCCAACGGTGTGCTTCTCTAAGCCCGGGAGCCAGCCGTTTCGGAGGAGATGATGTTACTTCACCCCATTATATATATGCGGCTTAAGTGTCTGTTTGTCGACGATAGTTTATTGGTTACTTGCGTAACTGTACCAGCCAATGGGGTGAAGTTGCCACGGCACAGGGTTGCCGTTTCAATTGAGACGTAGACAATTTCCTGTAAAACTTGCCTTTACTATGACCATCAACTATGGCAGTCACGATTACCAGTTAATAAAATTATATCATCAAGTAGAGCATAAATAAAAAACGAACACAAATCTATGGGGGAATTTGTTAATTAAAAACATACAAAATTCTGGAGCAACCACTTTCATCTTTATATTTAGCTACATCTATGTGACACCAGCATGCAGTTGTTTATAGTTGACTAATGTCAGAAGAGAACAGTATAAGGCAAGGGTTCTTAACCAAGTGGGGGGATTTTGTATCTTCAGGGGGGATGCGGTTACCTGTTACGTATTTAGTTTTAATTTATGAATTTAAGAAGCATACTTTTATTCAAATTTTGATATTTATCAATGCTGTTTGTACTTTTTTTTGTCTAATTTATCAAACACATTAAAAAATAATCTAAATTTAAATAAATGTCCAATATTTTTTTAGTTCCAGAAAGGAGGGGTGTGTGGCTGTTTAGCAATTATGAAAGGTGTTGCATGGAGCAAAAAAGGTTGAGAATCACTGGCTTATTACACTATGCTCAGTCTAGTTATATTTTGGAACACAGACATTTATTCTTTGGTGTATTAAAAACTGCAGATAATTGAAACAATGGATACCAAATCACTAATTATGAAAACATACTACTATGTCTATTTTTACCATCAGTTCTGAATTAATTCATATATATTTATCTTTACTTCATTATTAAATTATTTTTTATGATGAATATCTGTCTCTTTCTTTCTTTTTTTAAGAACAGCTATATATATATTGATCATGATAAATCGCAAGATTATGCAAGTGGATTATAATAACTTAAAACTAAAATATGCATGTGAGCCGTGAGGCTAAAAGTTGGGAAACACATTGTTTTAAGATATAGTCTTTTTAAATTTTCTTATTCATGGCAACATACTATAATCTTGTTGATTTTCCTTGACTATATCTCTAGAATTAAGTTGATGTCTGACAAGTATTGTTCTGAAGTTGAATTATCCACCATGATTTGAAATCATACTCTTTACAGTGGAACTAAATATAATATTTAACTGATATTTTTTCAAAGATAATATTTTAAGCAGACGTAAGCACCAAATTTTAATATTACCTTACCAATTATAAAGAACAGAATGGTTTTAAATAACAATTTATACAGCACTGTCTGCATTATAAAGCTTTAAGTGCAACAGAATAGCACATTATAGTTATTAACGTCATCTAATAATGTAAAAAATAGCTGTCATGTAAAGTGTTTTGGTACTCTTTTTTATTTATTTATTTATTTATTTATTTTTTTGATCCAACACATTTGTTGACTTTTCTTCAATGTGGTAGAACTTAAGAATTTTGCGACACAGATAAAAGAACATGTAGATATATTTTTAACATACAACAATCTGCAGGAATAAATAAAAGTTTTAATTATCATTATATACTTACAATATTTAATTACCCTAAAATTATAATTTAGAATTATAAGCAATTCCAAACCAGTTAAACTTCTAATTTTCATAATTACACTAAAATCAGTTTATGTGCCATTAACAACAGCGAAATACAATAAAATCTTGAATGTTTAAAATACTACAATAAAAAACAGCTTTTTTTTAAAAAATCATATTAAAAATAAAATATTATTTTCATCACATTTAACAATTATTTTCTCAACATTAGCTCTATTTAGTCACAAAAATATTGGATATAATTAGTAGAAAAGTACCATTAATTCAGTTTACAATAGATATGATTCACTTGGATTTTCTATCTTTTTTAAGTTGGAAGAAATTTAAACCTTTGATTGATGTTTGCACAAAACTTTGCATTTTGAAGAAGTAAAAAATAAGAAACAAAATTATAAAGAACTACACATATTTAGAATTCTGAAGCTCATATAAAATAACATGCTAATGGTCTTGGATGTCACAACAGGAGTGAGCACCAGAATCGTAATATTTATCAGTTCAGACAATTCTTGTTCAAGTAAAATCTTATTAACAAATTGTAGATAAAAGTTAAGATGAAAGCCCTATGTGGTGTGTAGTTTTGAGTGCTTGTAAACTGTTATTTTTAGTAATATCATACGTGGCTTATTATTCACAAGTACATTGGGATGAACACCATCCCTGTTGAAAATAAGTGTGAATAAACAAATGAACACATTATTCTGTATCTCTACCTATCAGTATGTCTTACAAGATCCAAATGGTGTAAATGAAAAACATTTCAAAGTCACTTCTTGTTTATCCTTCCTCAACACGATTTATCACCAAGGGACTATGATACTTAGATAAGAAATCTAGGATATCCAGTTTGCAATAATAAACTCCAGACATCATTTGGGTGAAGAACTGCGATGGAGAGCTATTGGGAGACTACAGGCAGGACAAAATCCAACAGAAGTGGACAGATTGCTAAATGTGAGTCCTTCCGTTGTTCATAGACTTTCTAACCACAGATTCTTTCTAACCACAGGCACTTTCTAACCACAGATTTGGCATCCAGGAGGTTCAGCCAAGGATGACCAACTGCTACAACGAGCACTGAGAACAGCTATTTGTTGTTATGCCTACAATTGAACAGAACCGCAACTCGAACTCAACACAAATCCGCCCTTGGTGCAGCCACTGGAAGGATGTTATCAGCGTCAAATGTGCATAAAAGGAGGTTTGTATATGAGGCAACCAGCCATTTGCAAGCCACTCACGTCATGTCATAGAACAGAACGTTTGAGGTGGGCACATCAACTTTTCCACTGGACAGCTGATCAAATCTCTTAATGGATCTCCAGGTTTAGCCTCAAAAGCAATACAGTACAAAGTCCGTAATCCGGACGTCTATTATTCGGAATAATCTATAATCCGGACCTCAAAGCCACAAACTTTATGCATGCGCGTACACTACACCTGCACGTAATGTATGCTTTACACATGCGCGCGTTGAAAGAAATGTTTAATAAAGTAAGCAAATAAATA